CATGAATCCTTCATTTTGATTTCTTTCTTTTTCCTATAAGAAAAAATATGGGTTTTGGAAATAACCAGACTCTAAATTGGGGGTGTGAAGTGTAGTGGCTGTGGGACTCACTGCCTTCTGCATAATTGACTGATTTCTATCGGTTCTTTGCTGCTTATGGGGTACACATGATGTACACACAAATGTACCGGATGCTAGGGACACAGATACAGGTGACTTCTGCAGACGAGTTCCTGTCCTGATAGAGGTTACAGTCTGGTATAAATGAGATTGGCTGTAACTTCAAAAGCATTTGAGGAAATGAATTGGAGTCCCTGAACTGTTGCAGGCACTAAACTGGCCCAAGTTGAGGATGTCACAAGACCTGGCTTCTGTAGGAGTGAGGGAGGTGGCAGAGGGAGGTGGAGACCACTGCAGGGAGAGAACAGCTCAGTGAAAGGCCCTGATGTGTGGGGAATAGAAAGGAATCTGCCTGCCACCACCCGGTGGCGGAGAGATCGGAGACACAGCAGTGTGTGGGATCTGATTTAGGGTTGCAGGCTGTGCTGGGTATTTGGATTTGTTTTCCTAAAGGGAACTGGAAGTCATCAGATAGTTTTAAATACAGGAACCAAACATTCAATCTCCCTTTTGGAGAAGGTTGCTCCAGCGACACTGAAAAGAATACAGAGGGACCTGTTGGATGACCAGCCCTGGGAGTGAGCTAGTTTGAACCTGGGGTCTGCTAATTTTTATTTTTCATACTAGGGATTAATTCACAGCCTTGTACTTGTCAGGCAGCTGCTTACGCCACTGAGCTGAATCCCCAACTTGGCTCTGCTATTCTTTTTTTTTTTTTTAAGGAGAAAAAGAAAAAAAAAAAAAACAGAAAAAGGGTACAAGTTATACAGAATTTCAAAAAAAATAAAAAGTAGGAAATCACTAGTTAATAGATTACATATTATCATCTTAGAAATAGTTGTTCAAGTTACAAAATTAAAGCATATAAAGTGGACATTCAAACAGTGAGACTGCAAACAGTTCTGTTCAATGATCCAACAAAAACTCAGTAATATGGTTATGCATCTTATACACTTAAATATACATGCAGTTATATCCTTTAGAGCACTTTTTCTTTCTTTTTTACAATGACAATTACATATTTCGGGTTTTATTACTCCCATAGTTCTTATTACTTTTTTTTGAAGAGAATAAAACCAAATGTGACATAACAAAACAGTCAAATCAAAAGGATGGACATAATACATGATGTAAAAACAGAATACAAGGTGATCAACAATGGTTACCATAATGCCTCTTGCTATCTTAAAAAGAATTGCCTGTATCATCAGTTATAATGAAATTGAACAAAACAGTAAAGAACAAAACCAATAAAACCAAAACACTGGAGACATTACAGGACTTCAAAAGAAGATAATAGTCAAACCAGAATGGGCATCTTAGTGAATCTTATTGTCTTCACAGCTGATGCCTATATTCTCAAACTTGGTACTATCAAGCAAAACAGAATAGAGTAAAATCAGTCAAAACAAGATGGTCATGGAGCTGGGGATTTAGCTCAGCGGCATAAGCGCTTGCCTTGTAAGCAGGCAGTCGTGAGTTCAATCCCCGGTACCGATAAAAAAAGAAAAAAGACAAAAAAACAAAACAAAACAAAACTAAGATGGTGAGAGCAATACAGGGTTTCAAATCAAGTTAATAGGAAATCAAAGTTGGTTATTATAATATGTCCTGCTATTTTTATTTTTCCCTTAATTAAAAAGATAAAAATAAATAATAAAAAAGGAGATTGAGATAAAAGAGGACATAACAACAAAACAGCACATGTCAGAACATAACCATTTAACCAAAATAGTGTTTCACCACAAGATATCCCAAGATAAAAGTAGTTACCATAGTGTGTCTTTCCTTGAAATCTTTGAGTATGACTTCGTATACTGTAGCATCAAGCATATCAAGATAATGTAAGACCATTCAAGAGAATGACAGTATTACAGGGTATTTAGAACCAGCTAACAGAAAATGAACAATGATTTCTGTATTATCTCCTTGTGTATAAAAATTTTTGTTTATATTATCACATATAATAAAATCCAATAAGATACAACCTGTTAAGACTGATGGAGACAGAAGAACAAAAGCTTGATGGGACTTCAAAACCAGGTGATATTAAATCAGCATTAGCTATTATGATGTCTTGTTTTCTCCAAAATAGTTGTTCATACCATCCAAACTTCTCTGCCTCATTTCTGTTGAGCTCTTTTTCTGTCATTAGTTGTCAGTTTGTCCTCTTCATTTCACTTTCTGCTTCATTTATTGTGACCTCTCTGCCACTGTTTCTTGGTATTTTTCTCTTTTAGAATGTCCTGCAGTATTCTCTGTAGTGTTGAATAGGTGGTTGCAAATTCCCCTAGTTCCTCTTTATCCTGGAAGCACCTTGTTTCTCCCTTAATTTCTAGGGATAATTGTGCAGGATATATCAATCTTGGCTGGAGGTTATTGTCTTTCAAAGCTTGAATTATTTCATCCCATGTTCTTCATGATTTGATGGTTTGTGCCGAGAAGTCCGCTGTAATTCTGATGGGTGTCCCCTTGTAAGTGTTTCTTGTTTCTGACAGCTTTTAATATTCTATTCTTATATTGGATTTCTGGAATTTTGATTATTATATGCCTGGGTGCAGTTCTGTTTGGGTTGTAGGTGGCTGGGTCCTGTATGCCTCATAGATCTTAGTATCTTTACCTTTTACCATATTAGGGAAGTTCTCCTTGATTATTTCTGTGAATAGGCCTTGCAGTTCCTTTGTTTGTATCCCTGCTTCTTCCTTTACATTCTTAAGTTATAGATCCTCTTATCATCTTCTAGCCTTTGTATTGTTACTGCTTGTTTTCTTGTTATTTTTAAGAAGTTTTTCCTTTCATGCTTCCACATTACAAATCTGTCTTCTAGTTCAGATAATCTATCCTTAGTTTCTTTCAATGAATGTTATGCCAGCTTTCAATAGAATTTTTAGTTTCCTGGTAATCTCTTTGAACCTGCTTCACGTATTCTACATTTTCTCTACTTTCTCCATCAAACAGTTCTCCCCTTTTTTTCTGTTCTTCCATTTCATCATCTGTTTTTTTCTTGGTAGGTGCTTAGCATTTGTTTAACCACTCTACTTATATCTTGCTTTACTTGGTTAAATACTTCACTTTTGAACTCGTCTATGAGGTCCTAGAGGTATCGCTTTATGTCTATTGGTGCCATGCCTGATATTGCATGTTTTCTGTCATCATTCTCCTTTGTATTTACGTTTCCTGGATCATGTTCTCAGGATTGGGGACTGAGGACCCTTTCTTGTTGCTCCCTCTTCCCATACTTTTTGTTCCTTCCATACAAGTGTATACAGGAGGCCCAGTTTCTTTCTTTGTTGGTTACAGTTTGTTTGAATCGCACTGGCTAGGCGTTCCCACCTACTGCAGTGTACTAGGTAGACACAGACCTGGGCAGCTTATGCTGGGCCCGCCCCTCCAGTTCAGTCAACCTGCTGAAGGCTTCACTGCATTAGGGTGCACTGCCAGGCACAGGTACCTGATTTGGGCTAGCATCCTGGGTCTTAGTCCATGGCATCACCCAGGCCAAGTGCTCCCCACCAATCCTGCTTGAGAGGGGAATATGTGACTGAAGTCACTGCAGCATCCTGTTCTGGCTAGTCTGCCCAGTCCCAGAATGTCCTCTGTTGGAGCCTCCTACTCTATGGAAGGGTCCCCGTCCTTTTCACTCATCACAGGTCGATGCAGGGCTCCCCGCCAGCTCTGCTCTCAATTTGGTTTGCCGATTCCCACTCTCAGAACTTTTGCGTCTCTATCCCTGCTGTGCCAATTCAGATGCAGCATCGGTGGCAAGAAATTCAAGTTGCAGTTTCCAAAGGCATGGGTTCCAGCTTTGGCACTGAGACTTTAGCTGTTCAGTCGTAGCACCGGGATTGCATTTCCAGTTGGTTTCTCTCAGCTTAGTTTGTTCCTGGGTCAGCAGGGTATATCTCCCCTTGCTTAGGACTCTCCACACAGCACCATTCCTGGAGTCTAAGCTGGCTATCTCAGAGAGCCTCCGTAGCTGCTGTTATCTATCCGCCATGTTCTCCCAGAAGTCCCAGAAGCTCTGCTATTCTTGAACTCTGTCATTTTTGGAAAGTTCATTAACTCCCTAACCTTCAACTTCCTATTATACAAGGAAACAAGAATGATATTAATAATAATAGTGAATAATGCCTGCATTATTTGCATGGTTTTGAGAACTAAGTGGGAAAAGAAAAGTCCCTAGGCTAGTGCTGACACACGGTGGCGTTAGTTGTGAGAAAGTCTGTGGGGACATTAACTAGGGAGGTGGTTGTGGAGGTGGAGAGGAGCAGGCCTGGAATTCTCAGGACACACTACCCTCAGAAACTGGTCAAATGGAGAGCGAAGGATGCAGAGGAGTCCAGCATTGCAAGTTTTAACAAATACAGGACGTTTGGTTAAATTTGAATTTCAGGTGGCCATCATTTGATATTGTAAAAACACCATTGCAGGACAGATATATTTTTATGAAAACCATCCTCTTAAATTCACACATGACTTGGAAGTCAGAGGCAGGAGGATCGCTGGGAGTTGGAGACCAGGCTGGACTATGAAGTGAATTCAAGACCAGCTTGAGCTGCATAGTGAAATCCTGTGTAAGCACCCTGGGTTTCTGCTGACTTCCATATCACAACTTCTCTGGATAAGCAGCTGAGGAGACCACAGTGCCATTCATAAAGACAGAGATAGCCAGAGGGGAGCCAGTGAAAGGGCAGTGTGAATTAGTCCTGGTTTTAACTTGGTGCTAACTGACATCTCCCTCAGAGCACATAGAACCTTAATTTTTCTGGGACTGAGCTAGTGTAATGTAGTATGTTTCATTTTTCCACGGAAGCAGGCTATCATGTTATGAGAAGACTGGGCAGAACATGTGCAGACACCTTTCATTTCTCTATTTCCAGGTTTTTACATTGCTCCCGGCAATGCCACGGGTTGCCTGCCGTGCTCCTGCCACACTTCTGGAGCAGCAGGTCGTGTCTGCGATGGCCTAACTGGACAGTGCCTCTGCCAGGACACCTCCGTTACTGGGCACCGCTGTGACCGATGCAGTGACCACCATTTTGGATTTGATCCCCAGACTGGAAGGTAAATCCTCATAAGAAGAGATGATTAAATAGTTCCCATAGCTGTATTTGCAGAAACTTCCTCTTTACCATCCACATGCGTTTGGCAGTGCAGAAGCAGCATCTTTTACCAGGGGCGTTCTTTTTATCAACCTGGTTTTGATTCTTCACTGTTTGTCTATTAAACTCAATGGCAACCTTTGCTATGTCAGAATGGGTTGTTGTATATTGATAGATCCCTGAACTAGGATCTAAGAATACTTCCTGAGATAATATCCTTTTTACCTCAACAAATGACTTACAATCTGGATGCAGAAAAAGACACATGAACAGATGCCTGTGGAAGAAAAATATGTATATATGTACACTACATATACATGTCCCAGCTATTCTAGTCTGCGTGCATGTGCTTGCATGTGTACATGTTAACATACATGTGTGATATGTTGTCATTCTTGCCTTCCTAATTTAGGTTTAAGGATCTGCTGGTGAGAAACCTGCCTTCATTTCATGATAACTTGATGTGGTTTTGTTTTCAGTCTATAAAGCAGTCTGAACATAAATTAATCACTTTCAAAGTTGCACTGTCTTTGCCATTCTGTTTCTGATTTCCACCGTGTCTGTGGACATGTGCTATCACTTATCTGTGTTTACTCCTTTGCTTTGGTAGAGGCTGCAGTGTCTGCTCAGTGTGCGGGCATGCATCTGAGCATGTGTGTGCACATATGTATGTGTGCACATCTGATGAGATTGTGAGCTTGCTTAAAGTTCAGACCGTTATTTGTCACTTCTTTAGTGTTCCTGGCTCCAAGCTGCTAATGTGTACTGAATTCAGAATAGAACTTCAGCCCAATCTATTTCTCAAAAAATACTCGTTCAGAAAACATCATCATGGCTGGTTATTCAAAAGGTTGAGATTATCAGGGCTCTCTTATTTATTTCTGTGTCTTTTGATGCTTGTGATCAGACCCAGGGAGGCACACACGCTAGGCCAGCTTTATATCCAGGAGCCACCCAGGTTTGTCTATGAGCTCACTCCTAGGCACTTCCATTCCCACATAGATGGGGTGATGAGGTAATTGTGGCAGGTAACTCAAGCTGGTTCATTTTGTGTTGCTTTTGAAATTCAATTTGATTTTGAAAAAAAGAAACTTTGGGAAGGTTTTTGAAAACATTTGTTAAAACAACTTGGACACAAATATGGAAAGCCACAGGGCTCTGGGTTTAATTACTGGAGAAGTACAACCTGGGGTCTGGGAGCTCTTCTCTTTTCTGGAAAGATGGTAGCAGCCTGAACAGCTTCAGAACACCTGAGAGGGTTTCAGTAACACAGTTACTACGTACTCCACCTCCTTCCTATGGAGATCTCTGCCTGGTTGCCAACTTAGCCATCTTGGGTTGGTTGGTTTCATTCCTGGTCAGTTGTATCTTTAAATTTCCTGTCTTCTCCTTAGTTCTGAGCACACTTAGCTCCCCAGAAATATGCTCAGGTTGGCCGGCTGCTGTTCCAGTAAGCACACCCATCCCTCTTGCCATTTGTGATCCTCTCTGACCTCGTTCTGCTCTGTGATGCCCCTGGTTTCCTCCCAGTTATCACCAAAACCTCTGTTCCATGCCCGACGCTCACTGAGTTGATTCATAGAGTTTCACGTAACTCTTTAAGTGAAACCTAATTCCCTTCATTGAACTACTTTGCCTGTCAATTTTTTTAAGACTTTTTTTAGTTGTAAGGGAAGGGCTTGCTAAATTGCCAAAGCTGGACTTGAACTTGCGATCTTCCTGCCTCAGCCTCCCCCAGAGTATTGGGATTAAATCCACCTTTCAGTGTTCTTCCATTCAAGGCTGCCCATTCTCCTTGCTGTGTTTTTCTCCTACTTATCTTCCCCAGCACAAGGCACTGTTTATGGAGCCATGTTCTCTGACCTTTCAGTCTGCAGCCAATGCTGGAGTGCTTCCCTGGCTCACAGGGTGGACAGAAAAGTGACCCCCAAGCCAGTGAGGCAATCTAAGGTCCAAGGCTATGTCCACAGCTGGGTGCTGCTGGGAGGGAGCAGAGGCTTGGACGGCGGGGCCTCCCAAGGTAGAGGGGGCGCCCTTCAGGGCCCTGGGGCTGCAATGCTGCCCCCACTGTGTTTTCTACTTCCTGGCCCTGGGCAGAGGGAAGTGGTTTTGCTCCAGCACAAGCTCTGCCATCCTGGGCCATGTGGGCAGCAGACTGCAATCTGAGGAATGGAGCAAAAGACGCCTCTTCTCTGTGTGAACTGGCTAAGTCAGGGGTTTGTCATGGTGAGGAAGAAGGACTTGCGGGCTTTTTCATCTCCTCTCTGCCTGTTGTCAGCATGGCGAGATATCTCCCTCCTGCTGACGCACTTCCCTGCCCTTGTCCATTTAATTCTCACTCAGGATCATCCTCAGTTCTCTGCCTCTCAGCTTTCCTAGGCCTGGAAATGCTGCTCTGGAAACACATATGACCTCCAGTTCTCCGGTCCCGTGACTGTCACCAAGCCTGCTTCCTGACTTTTTTGAGTTTCTGTCCCATCTCCCTACCTGGTCTTTTTCACTGAATCATCCCCCGCTGTCTCCTCCCAAGCTGGGCGAAACCACTTTCATCCTGACTGGAGCAGACAGGTTGGCGTCACGGTCTCCCCTGATATGTGAGCTCCAGGACAGTCCATGCTGGGGTTTGGAGCCTGGGGACACTAGGGGAAGACCCCACACTGGGGCCTCCTGACGCCTGGCTGAGAAGGCTCCCTCTCCTTGCTTCCTCTCAGCAGCCCCTCATTTTCTTTTCTTGTTTTGATCTTTTTGAGACAGTGTCTTGCTCTGCAGTTCAGCCTGGCCCTCAGTTCACTGTGTAGCCCAGGCTGGCCTGAATTTGCAGCAATCCTTCTACCTCAGCCTCCCGAGTGCTGGGATTACAGGCGTGCACCACCACGCCTCACTTCTCAGCCCCTTTAAGGTCACTTCAGTTTTCCTTCCCTGCCCTTGGCCTCATGAACAAAACAGAACCCGAGATGAAGACCTCTAGGTTATCTCCTCTCTGCCTCCAACATTTCCATACATTCCTGGCTGTTTATCTTGTCTTCAGAAACCAGCACAGAGTTTATTTTCTAAAAATAGCCTGTTGCTAGCTTCCTTGGGTTTCCCTCCTGTTTCTGTCTCCTGTTCATCGCCTCTTCCCTTCTTCCCGACTTTCCTCCATCAGCTCCTCCCTTTATTTTTATTCCGTCTCTCTTCTTTCATGGTGACTGTCTATAAACCTGGTCTTCACCACTACCCCAGCCCTTTCCTTGTCCGCCTCCTCTTGGAGACCTGCGGGTAATGCGTCTCTCACTCTTCATCCTCACTGATGTTTAGAAGGAGTGGATTTGTTTCTGTTTGTGTGCTTTCTTTTCATTTCACTTTCTGCCCATCATCAGTAAGCCCACACAGGAGTTAATGCGTATCTACTGAACCTGCTAAGTGGAGACAGCCAAGAACTAGTTAGATGGGTCTCACAGCTTGCATCCAAATCAAGGACAGGGCTATGAAGATATGAGATGGATAGAAATGAGTGAGGGGGATGAGACCAGAGGACAGGCTTCCCCTGGAGAGGTCTTGGGGACCCTTGAAGGATGATGCAGTCCCCCCTATGGCTGGTAAGGCTCAGATGTCCATCTGCATGAGAAGAGACAGTCCGGCAGGACCAGGACCGGGCAGATTGGACAGAAGAGAATGCTCTGTGTACCCCAACTCCCGAAGCTCATCAGGGAAAGGGCCCCCCAGGGTACACAGGAGAGGGAGACATAGGCGGTGGTCTCAGTTGCTAGCAGAGTGTAGCCTGGAGGCTCGGTGGGCTGGGTAGAGAAGAACCCAGAATGCTACAGGCTGCAAGTTCTATAAGCAGCTTATTAGCAGACTACAGGGGAGAGATATTTTGTGTTGGGATAGAAACCAGGGGAATGCTCACAAGGTAACTCCCTCTGCAATGAAAAGCTGGCTTTAAACACACACAGGGCAAGTGACTGCAGACCACCCTGGTTGTGTAAGCCAGGGAGGGCCAAGCCCTCGCAGATGGTGAACAAGTGAAGAGGCAGGCAAGGAAAGGAGCAGGGACCACCAGGCACCCTGCTCTGCCCGGGCAACTTCCCCAGGTCCTCACTGGGAAGGAGAGAAGTCTGTTCTTTAACATGTCTGTCCCTTAAGGAAAGATCGGATGGCTGACTTGGCTCAGTTAAGACTAGGCATGAGATTTTCTGAGTTGAATCCGTGGTTTGCAGTTTAAGGTAAGTCTAGAACTCTCTGTTGCTACAGAAAGACCAGAGGTACTGTGACCGACTTACTTCATCTCTCGGTGGAAGATGGAGACATTAACCCATGCAATGCGACCTTCAATGGGCCAGGGAGAGACCAAAGCAAATTTGTCTTGAGATTCCTGGTCATGACCCCCAGCTGCTCAGTGTGCCAGTTAGTTCACTGTCCTTGGTGTCTCTTAAAATCTTCCTTTTCTCTGGTTTCACCTCGTTTTGCTTCCTTTTCTGCTGAGCACACCTGTTTACCATGCCTCATTCAACAGACACATCCATGGTTCACCACTTTAAGGAGGAAATATTTATTTTTGCCTCAGAGTTTGTAGGGTTTTAGTCCTGAGTCACCTGGCTCCCAGGCAGGGTGATGTGGCAGAGGGGTGTGGCAGAGGAGAAACAGCTCTGAGCAGGGCAGGCAGGAAGCAGAGAGCAATCAAGGGAGGAAGAAGGAAAACTGACCTTCCACGCTCTGCCCCAGCGACCACTTCCTGAAACCAGGCTTCACCTCCCGATGTCTACTCGGCTATAAATTCATCAGTGAATAAACAGTCAGCTCCCCAAAACCCCACCAAAGGACACATGATACTTGGGGAAATATCTAGTTGTAAACCACGGCATCTATACCCACAATTTCAAAAATTATATACATATTAATAAACTTAGTCCCTACTCTGGCCAATCAATGATTCTCAATCTGAATTTCTGTATCTGTCATGTATTCTGTTCTTAATGTATC